CCACGAGCCGAGCTCTGGACTCCGGAGACCATGGACAAGGCGGCCCGCGCCCCTCGGCCCGCGCAGCCCGGACTCTCCCACGCCGTTCACCTGCCGCGGCGCCCCCTCCTCCATGGCGCCGCTCGGGCCGCTCGGGCCCCTCCTCTCGTCCACTCCGGTTCCGGAAGCCCCGGCTCCTCCGCCAGCGCTTTCAAACTTGAAACTTCCCGGGAGGCGGCGCGGAAGACGCGGGATCGGGCGCCCCCTCCCGAGACCCGCGCGACCAGCGCCCCCTCTCGGCCGCGCCGCAGCAGCGCCCCAGACCCCTCTTCTAAATCCGAGACCGCAGCGCAGCCGCGGGTCCGAATTGAGCGGGAATGGGCCCCGCGCCTGGTCTCCTGAGGCTGCAGTTCCGGCTCGGTGTGACATTGATGCTCCCGGGAATGGAGGGGCAGGAAGGGCATTTCCCCAGTCCGGGTTCCTCCAGCTTTGCCCCGCCGCGTGCTCACGCGGGTCGGCCGGAGTGGGGACAGCGCCCCCTACCASTCGCAGAGCACTGCTTGGGTAGCGGGCCCCCTCCCTGCTGGGGTAGCCTCTTCCTACTCCCCAGGCTCTCCCGCACGCGTCCCCATGCCCACCCCCGCGACCTGGCTCCTGCCCCCTACTCCTCTAGCGTTGGTGTCAAATGGGCTAATCCCTCCTGGATTCAAGGGATCCTCTCACCTCAGACTTCCAAGTTCTAGAACCATAGTAGCATAGTAGGCTCCTTAAACTGAGAGTTATCCTGAGCTATTATCATTCATCATTTATAAGTAAAAAGCCCCAGTTGACTGTGTCTCATCAAAAAAGAAAAACACAAACCAAACTAGCAAGGCTATTCTCTTTTTGAGTTGCCCAAAGGTACAATCAGTTCAGTTAACACTAAAAATATTTATTAGACTTGATGGGTGAATGTCACTACTTCTGGAAGCCAAATGCCACATAACTCTCCTCAGGAAGGTGTTCACTTCTCAGCTCCAGGACCATTTTATCCATTGTGCACCCAGGAAGCTGAATTAGACAGTTTGCTGTTAAGTGTTTCCTTCACTGCCTCACAAGAAGGGGAAGGAGTCCAGAGGTAGCAGAATCCATCTAATGTGTACAGGATGGGAAAACCAACGAGAAACCAAGTCCAGGGCTGCTTAATTCTTTAAGGCTCTCAGCACTGCAGCCCATCTACATTTAGTCTCTGGGTAGATTCTCAGTACACAATGTCACCAACTATTCAAGTTGACATACACAGGCTCCACTTTAAAAGTCCTTGCCACTATTCTTATTCTAATCACAACTAGTCCTTTCCTCAGACCTGTTAAAAAGTAAACAGCAATCACATTCTAATGGGAATGGTCATTGCTGGGGTGGTGCAGACTCTAGAAAAGACATAGTATTCACTCAACTCAGGGCTGAGAATGTGGCTCCTAGGTAGAATACTTCCATGTTTGAGGCCCACAAAAAAACTTATTAAATAAATTGAGTCTTCATTTTGTTACAGAACTGCATTATGGTGACAATTTTAAAGGGTTCATTGCAAAAACCTAAGGGGGTAAATACTTTGGGGGGGAACTAAGTGAAACCATGAAGCTAATTGTTACTAAAATGAATCCATATGCACAATTGTTAGGAGTCCTGATACCTACAAGACCCCCAATATCCATAATACAAATTTCTTTTAGAAACCCATAGGTGGATTGAATGCAAAGTAACATTGTCACCCAAACATAGCATCCAGGTATTTTGTGGATCATTTAAACTCTGCATGTCAGCTGAACATGGTGGTGCACACTTGTAATCCCAGCAAATCAGGAAGCTGAGGCAGAAGAATCTCAATTTGATATCACCCTGGAGGAATTTGCAAGACCCTGTCTCAAACAAACAAAAAACAGTAGGGGAGAGTGCCTCTGGATTAAATCCCTAGTACTGAAGGGTAAGAAAGCTTGTTATGGAGAGAGGTCAGGGAACAGTTATCTTATTTTTTAAATCATCAGAGAAAGTCATCTTTAACTTCAGGAATGGTCTTAAACACATTCCTTAAGGTTTTGAAACTGTTTATACCTTGCAAGCTAGCGTCCCCAATTCATGCAGTTAAATCCCCCTCCTAAGCAAAGTATGGCACAGGTTTGAAAATATACAATACCCTCCAAAGGTGGAAACTACTAAATCAGGCCACTTGTTCTTTCTCCTTGAGCAAGAGAGTACTTTGAGATGTATCTAATCCTTTCCCATACACACTAGCATCCCTCTTAGAACACAGGTACAATGGATATTCCAGGAGTGTTCAGGAACCAAAGATTACCATTTTGCTTCCCCACAGCTTAGTACTCTTGCAAGATTTGTACATACAGAGGGAGTATCTAGAGAATTAATAATGGCAGGGGGTGTGGGGGGGAACTATTACTTTAAAGGGACCCAAACTTTTGATATATACCCCCCAAAATAAAGGAACATTGTTATAGCTGGGCACAATGACACAATGCCCCCAGTACCAGTTATTCAGGAGGCTGAGGCAGAACTGCTTGAACCCAGTAATAAGGCTGTCCTGGGAACAGAAGATTCCTCAGAAATAAATTGGCTGCGTGTGGTAGTCACACCTGCAATCCCAGCAACTCCAGGAGACTGAACCAGGAGGATCACAAGCATAAGGCTAGCCTCTGTAACCTGGCAAGAGCCCAACTCAAAACTCAATGGTAAAATACCCCTGGGTTCAATCTCCACTATTGGGAGTGGAGGTGAGGGACAGCAAATATACATATGTATTAAACAAAACTAGAATCTCACATGTACATAAAACCAGTTGTGTGGCAAGTGATAACTTTCATGAAACACTATCAGAGGCTGAAATATTAATTACTAAATTTCTATGAGTCAATGCTAAGACTACAACATAAAAAAATACCCAATTATTGGGGCGAGGGTTGTGGCTCAACTGTAGAGCACTTGCCTTGCATGTGAGGCACTGGGTTCAATCCTCAGCACCACATAAAAACAAATAAAGGGAGTGTGTCTGTCTACAACTATAAAAAATAACCCAATTATGATGTTAATACATTTTTATGAGCCAGGTACAAATTTTACAATTCAGCTACTTAGGAAGCTGAGGCAGGAAGACCAGTTCAAGACCAGCCCAGGTAAAACCCAATTTACCAAAAAAAATATATATATATTATATRAATTCTGTGCCAACCAGCTCAATCCTTTTGTTACCTATGGAATAATTCCTACTAAACTATTTGAGCAGCCCCCCCTCCTTCCCCAGTCACTAATACATTATCCAATCCAAAGAAAGTAACATTTTTCTACAAAACAAGGAGAATGATCCCAGTCCAAAAAAAATCTTTATGTTCCTTTATTGGAGCAAGATTTCCTGACCGGTATACAGTGATGTATTTACTAAACAGAGACCTGTGCAGAAATTACATACTATCCATCTAGACAGGTTTTGGTTACACTTTGCCTATTGATGGAATAGTTCCATATATAAAGTTTTATACAACAAAAAGCTTTGAATTTGACCAGGCTGTCCATTAATTCACCTTTGAAAAAGTGGCATTTAATTTCAGCTATATTTTACAGCATTAAAAAGCTTATG